AGCAATTTTGAGGCCAGCTTGAACTGTGTGAGACTCTATCTAAAAAAAGAAAGGAAAGAAAAAAGAAGCAAATAAGTAATTAAGGTTGGTGTGGGTTAGGTAAGTGTCTAGATGGCAGAATGAAATGACAGCCTGTAGGAGAAAGAACAGGTAGGAAAAAGTGAGATGAGACTGAGCATCGGTAAGTCATCTGAGTGAAGGTGTAAGATGTGAGCTTGAAAGACAGCTTTGGAGACTGCAGTAGAGTTGTAACCCAAGTCCCCAAAAGAGTATAGAATCCGCATAGAGACCAGAGGTTGGGCTCTTCTCCAGACGGCACTTAGTTAAGCAAAGTTGGGAGTGGGATAAAGAAACAATACTGTTAATGGCCAAAGGCATCTTCCTTTGAAATAGATAACCCTAAGAGAGGACCTGGAAGTGAAGGTGATGGTGAGTCTCAAACATGGCCAAGAACTTTATAGGAAGAGCTTTCATTTGGTTTTATCATTCAGAAGTCATGAGTAACCTTAATGAGAACAGAGGAAGGAAGTGGCAGAAGCTAATGAAAGTAGGCTGGCAGAGATGCTAAATAGATACAATAGATTTCATTCATGAACAAATCCTAGTTTAACCACTCACTGGCTTTGTGACCTAGAGCAAGTGATTTACCCTTGACTATAAAGTGGAAATAGGATCCCTTAGCTGGTGGTTGACTCCAGTGGTTCATATCTGTTCTCACAAGGCTATGGTAGGAAGGTCACTTGGTGAACTTGAACTTGGGAGTTTGAGACCAAGAGGTGAGCGTGTCTTCAGGATGTTTGTGAAGTACTAATGTGGAGCTTGTTGCTGAGTGAATGGTCAAGCTGGCTGTGGCCATTGCTATTCTTCCATTAGTTACTAGGAAGCAGGTGTCATGGTAGGGTCTTGGGTGGATGGTACACATATATTACATAGGCCTCACTTAGGGCAGGTGTGTCTAAGATGCTGATCATTCAAAGCAGCATTGAATGCCCAGGATGCACGGAGTACTTTGGGGAGAATATGTGGCTTCCTTCCTTCCTTCCTTCCTTCCTTCCTTCCTTCCTTCCTTCCTTCCTTCCTTCCTTCCTTCCTGTTTGTTTTTGGAGATAGGATTTCTCTGTATAGACCTGGTTGTCTTAGAACTTGTTCTACAGACCAGACTGACCTTGAACTCACAAAGATATGCCTACCTCTGCTTCCCAGTGCTGGGATTAAAGGTGCTCACCACCACCTACTCTTGGCATGTATTTTACACTTTAAATGGGTATGTTATATAGTGAATAAGTTAATCTCAATGAAGCCATTAACCCCCCCCCAAAAATTAGTCAAGTTGAGGAAGTGGGAAGAATTAGTGACATTAGCCATATCAGAACTACAGGATATCAGAGAAGCTCTGCAATTAGGAGTAGAACACATGAAGTATGTGCAGGGCCTGTGTCTGGATAGAAGTTCTGCTGGTGTGTGTACCTCTGAAATACATATGGATCAAGAAGAATGAGAGTTAAGACCTTTTAAAAAGAGGAAGATGGCCGGGCGTTGGTGGCGCACGCCTTTAATCCCAGCACTCGGGAGGCAGAGGCAGGCGGATCTCTGTGAGTTCGAGACCAGCCTGGACTACAGAGCGAGTTCCAGGACAGCCTCCAAAGCCACAGAGAAACCCTGTCTCGAAAAAAAAAAAAAAAAAGAGGAAGATGATTAGCTTTGGTTAAAGTCAGTGTGTGGGAAATGTCTTAAGACTTGATGGTGGGCTGGAGAGATGGCTCAGTGGTTAAGAGCACGGACTGCTCTTCCAGAGGACCTGAGTTCAATTCCCAGCTTCAGCATTGTTCACAGCCATCTATAATGGGTTCTGATGCCCTCTTCTGGCATAAAGGTGTACATGCAGATGGAGCACTCATACATAAAACAAATATTTGTTTATTTATTTTTGACTTTTTTGATACAAGGTTTCTCTGTGTGACAGTCGTAGCTCACTTTGTAGACCAGGCTGGCCTTGAACTCACTGAAATCCACCTACCTCTGTCTCCCAAGTGCTGGGATTAAAGGTATGCACCACTACTCCCTGGCAAAATAAAAAATCCCCCCCCTTTTTTTGCAAGTTTTATTTTTTTATTTATTTACTTTTTTCTTATTCTGAAGCAGAATGAGGCAGGTGTGGGCAAAATAAAAAATCTTAAGGGAAAAAAAATTGCTGACTGGGAGCTAGAGAGATGACTCAGAAATTAAGAGCACTTGTTGGTCTTGGGGGGGGGGTGGCACAGGGTTCAATTCCCAGCACTCACATGGTGACTTACAGCCATTAGAAACTGGGCTGGAGAGATGGCTCAGAGGTTAAGAATACTGGCCGCTCTTCCAGAGGTTCCGAGTTCAATTCCCAGCAACCACATGGTGGCTCACAGTTCTTGCCTGTAGGCAGAGCATTTTATACATAATAAATATTAAAAAACAAAAAGCCCCAACCAGCAGTAACTCTAGTTCCAGGGAATCCAGTGACTTTTTCTGGCCTTTGAAGGCACCAAACATGCACCTGATGCACACATATACATCAGACAAAACACATACACATAAAATAAAAATAAATCTTTAGACAATTTTGTAAAGAGTTGTTGACCAATTTGATGGCTCCAACCTGACTTCCTGTGAACCAGGACTCATGTGAAAGAAAAGGACTGACTTCCTCTGACATCTACACATGTTCATGGTTTGTGCAGACACAATAAATATGAATGTGCGTGGAGGGGTTCTGAGATCAGGCATGGTGGCATGTACCTTTTATTACAACCTACACTTGGGATACTGAGGTAGGAAGATAATGAGTTCAAGCCCAGCTTTGGCTCATAGGCACACTTTGTCTCAAACAACAAAACCATAAAACAATAATTTCTTTTTGCTTTGTTTTTGTTTGAAACAAGGTTTATCCTTGGCTATTCTGGAACTCTCTCTGTAAACCAGGTTGGCATTGAACTAAAAAATTCACCTGCCTTTATCTCCCAAGTGCTGGGATTAAAGGTGTATGCCACCACACCCTGCTTTCTTTATTTTGTATGAAAATATTTATGTGTTTCATTTTGTTTGCCAAAGGAGACTTAACAGGGTTTCTGAAATGAGATGAGCACAGTTTAGACTGCAAGATTAACTATCTCAGTCCTAAATCCAGAGGAAGAGATGTCATACTCCTAACAATCTGGTGACAAGAGAGGTGTTAAGGAACATTGGAGAAATGTCTGCATAAGGCAATAACCCAAGGACAGTTTATACTATGGAAGGAAGGAATAAGTATTCTTCAGTGGGAGACTGAGCCTCCCCCACGCCTGTGTTGTTCCAGCTACCTTGGGCAATGACATCATTATACGAAGAGACCCCGGTGCCCAAGGATCAAGGAGCTGGTATGGTCATTGACAACTGTGCCTGCTGCCTTGATTGCTGTCTTCTGACTTGCTGCTGCTTCTGCTCCTCAAGAGAATGAGGCCAGGGAGAGGCAGAAGCTGCTGTGAGCTATCTGGATCTTGACCCTTTTCTAGATGAAGAAGGGGAGTTGTGGAGGAGGTAGGGATTGGTTGTAGGATATAAACAGAAGCTTGCTTTGGATTCTCAGAAGGAAGACTAGGGGCTGGTGGCTGTGGGTGACAGCTTTAACTAACGGGATGAAGGACTGGGTCAGAGATCCAAAAAAGGGGATGAAATCTACTTTCGTTAGATATCAGGTAAGAGGTATTGAAAGTCAGGCTTCTGGCCGGGCGTTGGTGGCGCACGCCTTTAATCCCAGCACTCAGGAGGCAGAGGCAGGTGGATCTCTGTGAGTTCAAGGCCAGGCTGGACCGACAGCCTCCAAAACAGAGAAACCCTGTCTCGTAAAACCAAAAAAAAAAAGTCAGGCTTCTGACTTCAAGAAAGACTTAGATAAACCCTGAAGCTGTTTCTGAGGTGTGGGAAACCCTTGAGGAAAAGCTTGAGCGTGGATAGAATGGTAGAAGAGAAGGTGTTGCCTCTTAGATGTGTGAAGAGCCCAGTAGGCGTGTGGGGAAATAGCACTCAATTAAGATACCAATCTAGAAACTATCAGTACACTGGTTGGAAGGAGATTGACATGCTCAGCTATACTTAGGCTTGCAGCCAGGGCAGCCTGCCTTAGCAGCCCAGTCCTGCTCAAGAGTTTTGTCAGGTGACTAGAGAAGAGTTGTAACTGTAGGCTAAATGTGGGTTAAGTGTGTCCTAACAACATCTGACATGGAGCCTAACTTAGCAACAAGGCAGACCTAGAAACATGCTGGAATTTCCCATTCCTCGATTGCTGACATCTCTCTGTGTGGTTATAGGGTGTGTTTGGGTTTATTTCTTGTTTTCTAATACATACATATGGACACACATCTGCATCTGTACACAGTTTTTGTTGTTGGTCTGTTTTGGATTTTGAGATGGTCTGGTCTCTCTATGTGGCCCAGTCTTCAATTTGCTATGAAAACTAGGATGACCTTGAACTTCTGATCCTCCTGCCTCCATCTTTGAGGTGCATAGATTACAGATATACATCACCAGCATGGTAGGCAAAATTGTCACCTTCTTGTCAAAACACTTGTCAATACAGCAGCCTGTATATTCTGCATGACTCTGTAACCCCATTTATAGGATTATATCCTATAGATGAGCATAGGGTAGTAGGCACAGAGGTATTCATGGAAGCCTTGTTAGTAAGAGTAGACTATTAGAACCAGTGACATATTCAATAGTGTGACTGCAGGGTTAGGAAAGCCATGCAGTACCCTTATAGTGAAACACTAATAGTAAGTTTTCTAAGTGTTGATTTAGAAATATATTGTTGCCAGGCGGTGGTGGCACACACCTTTAATCCCAGCACTCAAGAGGCAGAGGCAGGCAGATCTCTGTGAGTTCGAGGCCAGCCTGATCTACAGAGCGAGTTCCAGGACAGGCTCCAAAGCCACAGAGAAACCCTATCTCGAAAAACCAAAATAAAATAAAATAAAATAAAATAAAATAAACTTAGAACATGGATAGAAAAATAGATCAGTGGTTAAGAGCACTAGCTAGAGGACCCAGGTTTGATTCCCAGCGTCCACGTGGCAGCTCCCAATGGTCTTTTAACTCCAGTTCCAGGTGATCCCTCACCCTACAAGCACAAGACAGGTGCATGGTGCACAGATGGACAAAACACCCTTATATGTAAAATAAATACTGAAAAAAAAAGAGCATCTGGTGAAGATACTTAAGAAAAATTAGAACATACAGGAACCAACAGTTCAGACTTGTTCTGGTGAGCTTGGAACGTATGCCTTCCAGATTTTGGTTCATAGCATTATAGGCTAGTCTGAGACTTAATGAGGTTCTATCAATCCCCCCCTTTTTTTTTGTTTGATTTTTTTTTTTTTTTGGTTTTTTTTCGAGACAGGGTTTCTCTGTGGCTTTGGAGGCTGTCTTGGAACTCGCTTTGTAGACCAGGCTGGTCTCGAACTCACAGAGATCCGCCTGCCTCTGCCTCCCGAGTGCTGGGATTAAAGGCGTGCGCCACCAACGCCCGGCTGCCCCCCCCCTTTTTTTTTAAAAGACTTATTTATATACAGTATGTATCCCTGCAGGCCAGAAGAGGGCACGAGATCTCATTACAGATGGTTAGCCCCGCCCCCCCAGCCAGTTTTTTTAAACCTGGAATCTTAGAATTTAGGGAATATTTGAGGTCAGGCCTAGACTCCTCATATATCCCAGGCTAGAGCTCCAGGGTCCCTAATCAAGTTCTGTCTTTCCTGACCATTTTTTCTCTTTCCTTTCCCTCTCCGTTTCCATCTCCATTCCTGATTTCCCGTCACATTACCTCTTGCACTACTATATACGTTCTTCTGATTTTATCTGGGAAGCTATTTATGGTCAAGCCAGTAAGAGTCTGCCATAGAACATAAGCTGTGCTCCAGGAGGGTCCATTGGAACTTATTATGGTGAGTGGTAATATGCTTTTTGTTGTTTTTTGAGACAGGGTTTTTCTGTGTAGCTTTGTAGACCAGGCTGGCCTTGACCTCACAGAGATCCACCTGCCTCTACCTCCTGAGTCCTGGAACTAAATGTGTACACCACCACTGCCCAGCCATAATATACTTTTCCTTGGATTTACTTAGCCGTTTCTTGGGCCTGGGTCATCATGTCCATCCCCCATGTCCACGTCCCCCCCACACACACACACAGGGTTTCTCTGTGGCTTTGGAGGCTGTCCCGGAGCTAGCTCTTATAGACCAGGCTGGTCTTGAACTCAGAGATCCACCTGCCTCTGACTCCCGAGTGCTGGGATCAAAGGCGTGTACCACCACTGCCTGACTTGGACCTGGTTTGTGAGGTGGAACCAGTGTCAAACTCTCGTCTGGGACTTTTGAGGTAGCCACTTAAAAAGAGGCAAGTGTCAGCTATTGAGAACCCCTGCAGACTTAAGGCTTTTTGGATGGCAGAGGTGGAAATGCCTCAACACCTTATTTATTTTTCCATTTTGTTTGTTTTTGAAACAAGGTCTCACTTTGTAGACAGGGCTGAACCCAGAGTGGCAGTGATCCTACTGATTCCCCCTCCTGAGTGCTGGGTTTACAGGCAAATACCACTATTGCCTGTCAATGCCTTATTTTAAATCCAACAGTGCAACTGGATGCTCAGTTTTACATTGTGTGTGTGTGTGTGAGAGAGAGAGAGAGACAGACAGACAGACAGACAGACAGACTGACTGACTCTGGATGACTGATAGGCCCATAATGGTACTAGCAGGATCCTAGGAATTTGAATCTAGGGGAGAGAAGCTAATCTGAAAGGGTCACTGTGACATAGATTATCTTATTTCTGAGTAATAAGTGTCAGTAGAGACAAAACAGTTCGAGAGTTAAAGGGGATTAGAGATTTGGAAGAGTCTAGCTGAGCTGAGCTAGAAAAGAAGATTGTGGCAGGCTGAGCATGCCCAAGCTTCCCTCAACATCCTGTTAGCCTTGTTCCTCAGGAAACTGTCTGTGCCAGTATAGACCAGTTTCTCATGCCAGATTCATACTTCTCTGTATGTATTCTGGCTTTTCCAGATACATGTCTACTTCTGAGTTAAAATTTTAATTACGTTGTTTATTTTTGTGTATTGTGTTTTGCCTGCATGTCTGTCTGTGTACCACGACATGTTTACTTGGTTCTTCAGGAATCTAGAAAAGGGTATGGGATCTCCTGGACTAGAACTGCAGATGGTTGTGAACCCCAATGTGAGTGCTGGGTATTCAACTCCTAGAAGAAAGCATCCAGATATCTTAACTGCTGAGCCCTCTCAAGCCTTTCTTTATTCGTTTTGTAAAAATGTGTATGAATGTTTTGCCTTCGTGTATGTATGTACGTATGTGCCCCATGTGCACTCCTGGTGAGAAGAAGGGAGTGGGTCCCCTGGAACTGGAGTTATGGATGGTTATAAGCCACAGTGTGGATACTGGGAATTGAACCTGGATCCTTTGCACGTGCTTTAAACTGCTCTCCAGCTCCTTAAATTCCCGTTCGTTATGACACATTTCTGCACCTCTCTGCAGGTGTCATCATTCTCATGCCTGCAGGGGCTGATGGCTGGGGGAGATGGAGACCAAGAGTCTGAGGCATGATGAAATTGGAAGGATGTGTTGAGAGGGAACTGGAACTGGAGCTGGAGCACCCTCTTCTCGCCAAGAACCGATTCCCTCATGGTTGTCCACAGACCCATTCTCCTTTCCACCACAAGAGGGTGCACTAGGATCACTCTGCCACTGGGAGAAGCAGCATGGCTTCTGCTGTACACTACACCTGCCCATGGCTGCTGTCCTTTAGGGTTCTCTCCTGGGCTCTACTTCTGTCACTCAGGTCCCCAACTAGCCTCTCAGATTAGATGTAGGGTTCATGGTTCAGTGTCTTCTGTGTGTTTAATTCTTTCTGCTCTTTTCTCCCTGTGTCCCATCTTCCAAGGATAGGAAGAAGACCAGAGGACATTCTCTCCATATTCTCTGTCCTGATGCCTGGTACAGGATGCTCTAACCCTGACTAATACACTCTCTTCATTTACTTGCATGCTTGTATCTAGGTCATTCTGACAGCTCTCAGAGCTAGGGTAGCAGCCACTGCAGTGTGTTATCTTTTTTTTTTTTTTTTTTTTTTTTTTTTTTTTTTGGTTTTTCTGGTTTTTCAGAGACAGGGTTTCTCTGTATTGTTTTGGAGGCTGTCCTGGAACTCACTCTGTATACCAGGCTGGCCTCGAACTCACAGAGATCCGCCTGCCTCTGCCTCCTGAGTGCTGGGATTAAAGGCGTGCACCACAAACGCCCGGCTGCAGTGTGTTATCTTATGAGCTCTTAAGATATCTTCAGGGTTTCAAGTAGGAACTTGAGGCTCCCCAGGGTTCAAGACCCTGCCTTTCAGGTTCCCAGAAATACACTCTTCACCAACTTTTCACCCTTGTTGGTTCCTTGGTTTCACCTAGAATTCATCCATAGTATAGACTCTCCTCAGTTTCCTTTGGTCCTCTATTTTTTGTTGTTGTTGTTTTGTTTTGAAACAGTGTTCCTCTGTCCTTCAGGACTCTTAAGAAGGACATTTAAGCTTTTGTGGCACATGCGGATACATATGTGTAAGCATCTGTGAGAACTAAGCATGGTACCAAACTCCAAGTTAGCAATGTTGGCCCACTAATTCTGCCAAGGCTGGGGCCATTAGCAGGTGACTGACAACTCTTCCTCCTCACCCACTGCTCTCATTTGAGTGCTTTTCCATTGTGGTCACTGCTTCTGCCTCAGCCAGTATTCCAAGGCTGACTTCCTTTGTCTCCTCCCCACCTTTAAGAGACAGAAAAATGAAAGATCACTTTAGCTAGAGACTACTATTTCATTACCTGAATGCCTTTTCTACCTATCCATACCCTGGGACCACAGCTCCCCTGATGAACTGTGGAGGTACATTCAGGGGCCTGGACTGGACTGACCATCTGAGGATGGACAGGCATACTTTTAGCAAGCGAAGGGTTCTGGGAGGGAAAGCCCTGACTGATTGCTGGACTCTTTCCCTGGCCAGTTCTGGTCTGGCCAAGGGCACTTGCCCAGACCTTGAATTTTCAGGGAATGGATTCAGGCCTTGACCTTAGCTGAGACTTCATATTTGGTTAGTATATGAGGCTCCCTTTCTGAGGAGTCTTTGTCTTGTTGCTGTCTGAACTCTGAGGGCTTTAAATCTCCAAGTGTCTTTCCTGCATCTGCCACTAGACCTGTTAAGGCTGTTTGCTGGTGCCTAGGCCACTAATCTAACCTAAGCCTCTGAGTGACCTTTAAAGGTTCTGTTACAGGGTGTCCGAGTGACCTGGGCCTGACCTGGTTGCAATATGGCAGAGCTAGACAGGCTTCTGGGGATAACTTATCCAACCTCTTGTTTTATCTGGGAATTAGGTTCCAGATAAAACCCAAGGACTTACACATGGTCTCCTAACATCTGTTCTGGCTCTTTGTGTCTAATCACTTTAGATTCTCACTTTTTTCCTTCATTCACTATTTAATTTATTTATTGAAGGATCCCTGGGCTACACCTGTGTATATCTAGCCTCTGACTCAGTAGTTAGTAGAAAGAATCCCTGCTTCTGGGGCCCTTGCCAATCCCTAAGGCCTTGCCACAAGGAATCTAGATTAGAGTTAATAAGTTGGGAGTTGAGGAATTTAGGTGAGATGCAGCCCATGATTGACTGCACAGGACCCTGAGGCTTCTAGGTCACATGTGGCAGCTCATTCATTTTCTCCACCTACTGTTTCAAACTACATTGCACATGGCCAGGTCTAGGGGAACAGAGAATCTTTGAGCACCTTTCACTCCTTGCCAAGACTGCATGCTTCCCACATCCTGCAGTAGCTCCCATCATTTGGATCTAGCTTTTGTTTCATTTAAAATATTTATTTTTTTTATTTGGGAGAGAGAGAGAGAGAGAGGAAGAGGGAGAGGGAGGGAGGAGTAGGGGTGTCTGTGCATGTGTGTCCAGGTACCTAAAGAGTCAAAGGAGTCAGGACCCCCAGCAGCTGGAGTTACAGGCAGTTATGAACCACCTGATGTGCATGCTGGAAGCTGAACTCTGATTTTCTGCAACAGCAACAAGCATTTTTAACTGCTGAACTATTGGATCTACCTTTTAAACTATAAAGCTTCCCAAACATGGAACCACTGCCCTGTCAGGGGACAGTCCAGGACCACAGTGCTGATCACATCCAGTCTAGCTTTTTATTACTGCCTCCACATGTCTATTGTGTTCTTGAGTGGGGTTACTGGGGGTAACCTAAAGTCAGGGTGAGTGAAGGGTACTGAGCAGGACCAGCCTGGATGGTTACTGCTGGATGTTGCCACCTTCTTGCTTGGTCCAAGTGTCTTGGCTCTGCAAGACATATGTATGGTGTGTTTGGCCTGGGCTGCTCTGTGCAGTTAGTTTCCTTGAACTCTAGGGAATAGAGCTTCATACTGAAGGCAACGTGTCTTCATATATATGAATGAGGCTTGCTCCTTTGAGCCTGTCCATAAGGTTGAGGCCAAAGCAGAATAAATCTTTCTTATGTCTCTCCTTTGGACTATCTCTGAGCATCATGAAGTTGGCAAGCTCTCCTACCAGGATCTTTGTATAGTCTCACAGAGATCAGAACCTCTAGAACTACACTTTTCCATCTGAGCAAGCTTTAGCTTTCCTTCATGTCCTGCTTCCAGAGGTCTGTATGTGGGAACAGGAGCTCAGCGTCAGGAACTCAGGTGCTATGGTCCAGCAAACCCAGGACCTAGACATGGATGTGAGCCAGCATTTGAGCTCAGCTCATTGCTATTGAAGACCTTCATTTGACTACCTGGCACCTAGCCAAGTGAGACCACTTTCCCTCTCTTACTCACACCCAGACAGATTCACATCTTTGGGAAATGCAAACCAGTTTTCCTTACAGGCCCAAATTACTCTAGTTTGCAGATTCTACAACTGTGATAGCAAATCTAGGGAAGAAAGTTTGTATAAGGCCAAAGTGCATGGTAGCAGCAGAAGAGGTGTGACCCCCCCAACTCCCAGGGTACGGTCCCTCATTTGTCAGGCTAGGTTGTGGTTGGGGAACACAAGGAAGCTACCCTGGAAGCCTTGTGTCTTTTTGGTTATACCATTCCTTTGAAGCTTTAGGACCAAGGAGGGAATAGCCTGGTGTAGACTGTCCAGTTGGATTACCACTCAGGTAGAGGAGAGCTTCTTGGAACTTGCCCTGGGTGCAGCAGTAACTAGTTCTGCCCCTCCCTTTGGCACATGAAGCCATTGCCTTACTGCCACCCTTCCTCATGGATGAGTTGACTTCCTCATGGGTTATGAGAGATGCTTTCATTGTCCTAGCTGCAGGGACGGGATGTTCCTAAGATCATGTGGGTAATTAAATGTGACTCTGCTGCCACCTGCCACCTGTCCCAGAGCTGGGAGTGTGGTGGCTACCTGGGGCAGTCATCCTGATGACTCTTGGACATGGGGAGTGATCTTCCCACCAATGTTTGAGTTTGGTGGGTAGTGGCACCAGGATCAGATGGACAACCTCCATGAGTTAGTCCCCCGGCCCCCCCCCCCCCGCTGTTATTGTAAAAGTCTCCAGCATGAAATAAAATTCAGGTCCATGTCCTTTCCCTGCAGAAGCCCTGCCTCACACCACCTGAAACCCAGTAATTGTACGGCTGTGCCAGTGGTAGACTCCAGGTTCCAGAGCTTCCCATGGAGCAGGGACTGCGTGTGGCTGCTCTAACCCTATCTGTTCCAAAGACTCTGGGGCTGTAGCTCAGAGCATCCCAGGGTGTAGTATGGGGCAGAGTTAGGATCATAACCTCTGTCTAGATTTCTGGGCTGCTTAGAGCTCTGTATGATTTTGTTGGTAGGGAAGTAATGCATGGACTTTGGTATAGGCATCCTAAATCTTGAGCCAGCCCTATTCTTCCATCTCTAGTAGATAATAAAGTTGTACTGGTGCATTTGCGTACTTACAGGGTATAGGGATTCCCATCAGCAAAAACATGGAGGGCATGCTAGAGCTCATGGAAAGATGCTATAGACAGACCATGGAAAGGAAGACCACCAAATTTTTGGTGGGGCTGGATAGGGCAGCTTGAGCTGCAGCTGGAGTGGAGTCTATTGGGCTGAGAATGTTTGTTAGGAAGCTTTGTGTGGAGTCCTGTCTGCTAGGAAAAAATGGTCCGTAAATACTGTGTTGATGTCTCTTTATACCATTGCTTTTAATTTAATGTCTGTACAGGTGCCCCAGGGATAGGGTTGGACACCCAGTGAAAGTGCTGGGCAGTCAGCCAGAAGCCTGTACTATATAGAGATGTACTATAAAGTGCTCAGGGCCAAGTTGCAGGACAAGATTTGAACCCACATTTTTATGGCTCCAAAGCTCAAATTTTTCTCTCGTCTTGAGCCAGGCATGGTAGTAGGTACATGCCTATAATTCTAGCACTTAGAGACAGAGATGGGAGGATTTTAAGTTTGAGGCCATCCTGAGTTACACAGAGACTCCTATTTAAACATATGCACACATACACACACAATATTTCCTCTTCTCTGCCCATGGAGTGATGTTTTGATACCAATGGTTTGGCAAAGTGGGTCTGTAGAAAGAACTGGAACTATAACATAAACCAGCTGTTGAAGAAAGGGTATGCTTTCCCTGGCCAGGATAAGGGGCCTTGACACTCTAGGAGTGGTAAGGAAGAGCAGGTAATATGTGGGGAGGGAGAAAGCTGGCATTTGATAGGAAGAGTTAGAACACAGAAGTGACCAGTTGGCATTAACCTGGGAGTTTTCAAAGTGCCTTTGATAGACCATAGTGGAGGCTCAAAAGCTGAAGTGAAGAGGATACTCAGTCTGTGCTGAGGCCTTAAGTAAACCCAGGGTTAATGGTTCCTATGCAGAGACTCCCACGCTTGTATTCCAGATGTGGCACTGTGACTGTAGATCCAGCCAGCCAGTGTACACATCTGCTTTAGAGCTGACATGAGCCTGAGAAACTCCCCTGAGCCTAGAGAGGAGGTTTTGGCACAGCATATTCACCCAGAAGTGTCAGGGTGGCACAAACTATTTCATCACCAGACTGGC